TATATAAATTGTCTGACTCGTTAATGTTTGTTCATACAGAGGTTTAAACGAGTGCTTTCTGTCGCTCGTCTACCTTCTCCAGGAGCTCCACTCTGTTCCTCAGGCTCTGGACCTCCTCCGTCACGTTCTCCACCAGGCTGAAGCTCCCTCCTGTGGAAGACCCACAGACACTCGGTTCAGCTCAGTCCTTCCCAAAAGCAGGAGAGAAGACTCACAGAGCTGCGACTGTTGGGAGGCTTGTTGATTTTAAAAAAATCCCTCAAAATTGCAAGTAAATGTGTTTTATCTTCTGTCTCACTAAACTCTAATAGTGACCATGTGGCCAACAACCCGTGGACCTGCAATTTTAGAATATTTTGACCTATTTTCATGTGCACGGCTTGTAAAAACGGCTTTTCTGGCCGTGCACATTAGCAGCACAGATCTGCACAATGGCACAAGTGCAGTTTTAACAGGTAGAATTAAAGCTTATGACTGAAGAGGACTGTTACAAAGAGAGCTGCTGAATTCTTTGAGCAGGAAAGGTGGGATTTTGCTCAAAATACACTTTTATTTATTCCACCTGTTGGAATAAATAACATTTGTAATTACAGGTTGTCTGTTGTTTTCCTGCAAACCTCATGTTTATAAGTTATTTTACTGGAGTCCACTTCAGAAAAGAGAGTAAAGTCAGGTTTGGATCAGTTTTCTGATCCCAAAATAAAATAAAATAAAATAAAGTTTTCTGTCAGCAGAAGCCAAAAAAAAAAAATCAACTCAAGGACTTTCGAGACAAGCTGGATAACTTTCACTATTCTGAGGGAAAAAAAATGTCATTCAGATTTTATGAATTGTTGAAAACTGAAGCGACACATTTGGGACTCACACAAGGAAACTGAGAATCTGTAAACTGAATACCTTCCTCCAGCTACAGTATAAGAACCAGGTGAGAAAAGACCTGAACTCAACAGGCCTAAAACAGGTAACAGAGTTAGGCATGACAAGACAAAAACATCTTTTAAAAACAAGAAACTAAAACTGACAGTAAAAAAACAAAAAAAAAAAAAACACAGGGAATCAAAACTAAAAAGAGTAGAAACAAAGCATAGAAGAAATGCAGATCACCCTCCATCCTTCCTGCCAGAGTCTTACACTCACTTCATCTTTTGTTGCAAAGGACAAAGTTAAAGACATCCTGGTCAAATGCTGAAAGAAACGTGACATTCCTCTCACAGGATCAGTTATGTGTTGTGAAGCACTGCCTGCTAACATCACAGCAAGTTTTAGCTCCCTGTCTGGAGAAATGACTCGGTGAAAGACACTTCTTGTGTCGGTGAGAACTGCTTTGCTGAGGCAGCCATCTTGGATCAAGTTAACCAGTGTTGTATAAAGTACCACAAAGTGATACCTGAGTAAAAGTAGAAGTATCTTACCAAAAAATTACTTTGGTAAAAGTTAAAGACTCCTATAGGAATATTACACGAGTAAAAGTCTAAAAGTATCTGTTATTTTTTGTACTTATGTATTCAAAGTAAAAGTATTGATTTAAAATGCGCAGTTAGATTTTAGGTAATGACAATGTATATATAT